CTCCCCCAGGTAAACGTGGCCGTGCCACACAGGTGCCCCGCCCCACCCGATCTGAGAGCACCCCCGATGGCCAGAGAATGCGGACAATCGCTCCCGGCCGCTGGCCGCACCTCCGGGATGCCAGGAAGCCCGAGGGTCTGGCCAGAGGGTGGGCTCAGAACAGCCTCTGGGAAGACACGGGCTTGCTTGGGATCGGGTGCCCCGTGAGGTAGGGGCAGCGCAGGCCCTGGCCTGGTGTGTCCCCCCCCAGCCCTCATGGCGCCAGGGACCGAAACCACACCGAGTAAGTGAGTGGGGGGTGTTCCGCATGCACGGGGGGGGGGGGGTCAGGGAAGATGTGGCTGGATGTGGGTCCCTGTAGGGACCAGGGCGTGGGGTGTTCAGCAGCTCTCCTGGCCGCCCTGGGCTCTCTCTTGAGTAGAACTCACCCAAACAAAACTTGAGGGGTCTGAGGATGTCCTCACACCCACGTGGGTCACAGGGTCACAGGGTTGCTCCCAGATCCCACGGCTGGGGGGCGGGGGCACACCTCAGCTGAGGCTGGTGGACCTCGGCCCTCTAGACTCAAAGGGGTGGCTCGAGAGGGCAGACGGGTGGTGACCCGGGCGCCCCTGGGTGACTTCAGCACGGCCGCTGCGCCCGCCCGCAAGGCCCAGACTGGGCTGTCCCAAGAGCCCAGGGAATGGACCACAGTGGGCTCCAGGACTGGGGCTCCACTCTGCTGGGCGCCCACTGTGGGTCGGTCCCCCCCGCATTGAGCAGCACGGACGCCAGCTGGCACCTCCTCGCCCGTGCCGGCCACCGAGCCAGGACAGAGGAGTGAGGCCCCCTCTGCTTTTGCAGCCAGGGCGTCGGCGCCGAGCTGATGGGGCTGCAGGTGGATTACTGGACAGCAGCCCCGCCCGCAGACAGGAAGCGAGAGGTGGAGAAGAAGGACCTGCCGGCCACCAAAAACACGCTCAAGTGCACCTTCCGGTCTCTCCAGGTCAGCAGGCTGCCCGGCAGCGGCGAGGCTGTGGCCACGCCTGCCATGTCCATGACCGTGGTCACCAAGGAGAAGAACAAGAAGGGTGAGGTGGGGGTGGCAGGCTGACCGTCGGGGTAGTCGGAGGGGCAGCCCTGCAGGTCCCAAGGTCACCACA